AGAACGGTAATTTAGTAATTTATCTACCTAAATTGAGCGGGATCCATTAATAAAAATCATTTATGCCCAAATAAGTTAAACAATTTCTCAAAATTGCTATAAACAAGACAAAATGGGACGAATACCCATCTCCGCGAAGTAAATTACCATCCCAAAATGCTCTTTTGGCTAAAGCCCATTTTTTTTCCCCACTGGTAAAGACAAGAGCCCTACGGCGTCTACAAGCAACAGAACCACAAAAATAAAAATAAAACCAAAGCAAAAGTCACAATCACCAAACCAGTGATACACAAAAAGACAGAGAAACCCTACATAGCCTTGACCATACAAAACAAAAAAAGGTTGTAGCAGCAAGTGATAACGAACACCAACACGCGTAGGAAGGATTGAGAGCATACATACAGACCCTGTACAATATTTTGGATTCAATATTTTATATTCTATTATTGAACTGTGTGCGTTGTTTATAGGGAAAATTACATATAAATGGAGTTAAAGTTTCATATTTACTTAGAGACTGAGTCAAAGTTCCATATTTCTCTAAAATGGATTGATGAGGTGGCACATGGTTTTTTACTGTTTAGAAAATTGTGGTGCCTAAAATGCACTTCCCTAACAAAAAAGTAGAACCTTCAGTTCAAAAAAGTAGTACCTTCGAAGAAAAAGTAGTACCTTCGCGGGTGTTTAAAAAACATGGTACCTGAACACCAAAAAGTAGTACCTTCAGTTCAAAAAAGTAGTACCTTCGAAGAAAAAGTAGTACCTTCGCGGAAGGGTATTTTAGGCATCACAATTTCTAAACAGTAAAAAACCATGTGCCACCTCAGCAATCCATTTTAGAGAAATATGAAACTTTGACTCAGCCTCTAAGTAAATATGAAACTTTGACTCCATTTATATGTAATTTTCCCTTGTTTATATGGTAGGTGACTAATACAGTGCCTTCTAGTATAGTAGGAGTTAAAATACCATATTATATTCACACAAGCTTTTGTACTGGTCTTATCAATTTTTTTTTTTTTTTTTTGCCGAGTACTGTTCTTATCTTCAGTAATAGTAAGAACAACTTGTGAAATGAATGCTATGGCCCAATTATTGGTCAAGTATCCAATAGGCCCAATTATTGGTCAAGTATATACGATAAGATATCTATCAAATTAATGGGCTTGTCGAGGTGCATCAATTATCTCCAGCATGATCTGATTAGTTGCCAAACTTTATTACTCCTATTTATTACTCAATCTGGAAACATTGACTCGATTTCTATAATCAATACACATACATACATACTTACATATTATATATATATATATATATATATATAATTTTGAATGAACAATTATTGAAAGATATATGGTTAGATAATTATACGGAAGATGAAATAAAATCTTTTGAGTGTAGAAAATAACATAGGGAAAATGTGGATGAAAAATGTCAAATTGAAGGTATGAAATGTATGATAAATGTTTTCGAAAATATGAACAGGAATAAATGTGGTATAATAGTTGTATTATAAGTTAATGATGAGCAGATTTTTTTTTCTGAATGTGGGAACGTTATGAGCAGTCTGAGATTGCGCATTATATAAAATTTGAAGATTCTATAGACTTGATACTCATAATTATAAACTTCTATTAAGATAATTTGATATTGCTTGGTGGTATTATAAGGTTAAAAATTATATTAATTTGGGTGGGTGTTTCGTGATCCGACCAAAAAATTAAAGATATTAAGTGGGATTAACACCCAACTCATATATACCCAATCACTCTTCCATTCAGATTCGATGTGGGACAAGTTCTCCCATATTACATTCTCCCTACCCAAACTCTCAATGCCTTCGTTGCGACTCGGGCCACCTTGCCTACCCAAGCTGCAAACCTGGATGCCTTTCGGGCCGAACGTTTTGCGTAACACCTAGCCCATATATACTCGATCACTCTTCCATCCAGATCCAATGTGGGACAAGTTCTTCACTGTTACATTATCCCCCACCCAAACTCGCAATGCCCTCATTGCAGTTAGGACTACCCTGCCTACCCCGGGCTGCAAACCCGGACACTCTCCGAGTCAGGTGTTTGGCGTGACACCTGATCAAGGATTGGGTCTGGTTCTGATATCAATTGTAACGGGTGGGTGCTTTGCGATCCGACCGAAAAGCCTAAGCAATTAGATGGGACTAACACCCAACCCATACATACTTAATCACTCTTCCATCCGGATCCGATGTGAAACAAGTTCTCCCTTGTAATACAAGTCTAGTCATATTAAGAAGTTATTAAAATACAAAAAAAAATAAATAAATAAATAAAAATAAAAATAAAAAAATCTAAAATTGAATGGATAAGAGTTGTTTAATTAACCATTTTATTCCAAATCACAATTGCATTACACGACAATCATTTTTTGTTATATGAGAGTTGTTTTTTCTTTCTTTCTTTTTTTTGGGGCAAAGAGAGTTGTTACGTTTGTTGGTAGGTAAAGTTAGTCACACTAGGGGTGGCAAAATGAGTCATGACCTACTAAACTGCTCATATCTGCCTGCTTTAAAATAGAGATAGGTGAATTATTTTAAAATATGAATCAAAATGAGTGACCCATATTATTTTTTTTTTTTTGTGTCTGGTATGATGCATGAATTGATTTTCTATAACTTTGGAAGAGTGAAGCCCACACGGGAGGTCACGTGCTGCTTTCTCCTTCATGGGATGTGTTTGGCCGTGGAAATTGTGATCAAGAAGGCGGTTGATGGCAAATTCCGATTGCCACCGATCGTGTTGGTGCCGCTGGTACTTGTGTTCGTGGTGGTTACCGGCATCTGGTTGTTCATTCCATTGTTTTTAAAGTATGGAGTCGACGTCAGGGCAGGGAGAGTGCTTTTGTGGAGTTTGTTAAGGACGTGGGCAAGTTTGTTAAACTTACATCATTTAATCATTGAGTACTGAGTAGATAGGCATATCCCTTTTTCTATTATGTCAATTTGAGCTCATAATGACACACCCATATTTAATTTGTCTTGTTTTTGTGCCGCTAAATAAGTGGCAATTTGGAAGTGCGTATATATATAGTAACTTGAATGAACAATATATACATAATTATATGCATATTTGAAGCAATGAGTAGACTGCGTATATGCAAAAAGAAAGTCACCTAAGACAAGACCCTTTTATGGTCTGATGTCATTTTGTGACTAAAATGAATAGCAAATTTGTCAGTAATGTCAGTGACCAACCTAAGTTTAATGCATCTTCGACTAAAGTTCATTTCACTGTAATTATATTTGCACACAATATATATATTGTATTCTGTATATGCGAGTGTGCTTGGTTTACATGGTAGGGATAATTAAAACAGAGAGGAAAAATGGTTGAATTATATTATGTTTGAGGGCCAATCTTGGGCCATCGTTCTAGCCTTAATGTGTCGGCCCTGCTGCACGAGCTCGTATTCTACCAAATGGGCCGCTTATGGCCCAAATGGGGAACACGTTGTACTTTCAATTGCCTCCGATAATCTCAGGAGTGCTAAATCTATATACTTGGAATCAACCCTCTACACACCAAAGAGTATTTGACCTGAGGGGTATAGGTTCTGAAGGAAAAAGTGTGTGTATTTATCGTCAGATTTAACACTAAATTTATTTTTAAATTAAGTTTTATTAGTGAATTTAGTTATTTAACTAAGGGTGCATACGGTTAGTTTTTGGGAATCAAATCATTTCGGATGGTTTTAGAAAATTTAGAACCAAATTAAACCATTTGACCAAAGAAATCAAACCAAACCAAACCGTAAAACACCAATTCAGTTCGATTTAGTTTTACTGTTCCTCTTTATTTATTTATTACCATTATAGAAATTATTCATATTTTAAAATCCAGATAAACAACAATAAATCAAATTAACTAACACATTCAAGACTGCTAAGATATTTACTTTTAGAGCATAAGTTAATATATTCAAATTTACTAATATATTTATTTTTCTCTATCACTTCTGCAGCTAAAAAGAATTAGTGAACACCTTCAAAACTGCTAATAACCTAATACATATAACTAGTAATTCAACAACAAACACGAAAATGAACAACTTTGGGCACTATAGAATTATATTATATGTATAATTTTATATATATATTGGTCTTAAAGAATCTCAAACCGTGACCAAATCATATTTGTATTGTTCCACAAATTTGTAATTGTAACCGAACCAAACTATTCGATCCTATTTGAATATTCAATTTTATCGAATTTTTGCGCACCCCTAATTTAATCAGTAGTCTTGTCATTATCATATGATTAATCTATAAAACACAATTTTATAGTGTAAAAATATTATACCGATTATTTCAAGTGGATTTAAATCAAATTCACTTACTTTTCGTCCCTTTTAATGTAGTTTTAGGAGGATAAAAGAAGGTAAATGTACAAACCACAGACATTTTCTTTTGTATGACATAATAGTAGTGATGTAATTATAATAGATTGAACAGACGACACAATGTACATTGTATCTTGAACAGAGACTTTTGGATGGCGGCGTTGACTTATGGATGGCGATGATTGAATAGTTAAATAAATAGATTTATTTATTTACAACGTACATTGACTGTTAGATGGCGGTGATTAAATAGTTAGATTAAATAAATAAATAGATTTGCCTGCGCCGCCCCGAAGAGGGGGGGGTTGTGGAAAGATCAATCTAGAATAGTCAAAGCTCCCGAGACCACAGTCGAGTTAAACATGTAGGCACGTCTCAACATCAAATAGGAGTGCACAAAAGAACCGGAACGGTGGAATCGGAATTAGAACAGTGAGAATCGGAATTGTTTTTTTCAGTTCTCACGATTCCAGTTCCGGTCCCGATTCTGAATTTAGGAACCGTTGACATACGGTTCCGGTTCCGGTTCCAGCCCGTGGGAACCGATAAGAATCGGAACCGTATATATATATATATAATTTTATACTAAAAAAAAAGTATAAAAAACCTACTTTTTAGTTTTTTTGCCCTAAATCTCTCACTCTCTCAGTCATCGCCTCCTCTCAATCTCTCATCTAAACAAACGAAGTGACGAACCCTAAGCTAACCCTCGCCTCCTCTGAAGTCTGACCTCTCATCGTCCTCGCCTGAGTGAAAGATTTGTTTGTATTTCAAAGAAAAACAACTTAGACAGAGAAAGTGAAAGATGTGTTTGGTGTTCATGTGCGATGAGGACGAAAGGGTGATATCTAGGCAACTGGCACCAGGGTCGTGTCCGTATTGTGGAGGGATGATACATGCCATATTGCCATGGACGTTGAGAGTCAATGAGGTTCTGTTTCCTGCCTCAGGACCAAGAAAAAGTACTATTGCAGTATGTGTGCTAGGCGTTTGGTCGTCAAATACTAAGACTATTTGTAGATCGAAGCGACGAAGACACTGCTTCTCTCCTCATCGGAACAATTGGAGACCGATCTCAGATGGGTTAGCTTGATGATTAATGACTACTACTTTAATTTGTTTGGTTTGTTTGCTCGTTTTTTTTTTATTTATTTTATTTTATTTATGTATATGTATATATATATGAATCATATGATATACAGGTATGAATATATTGATGATGAAATACTTTTTTGGTAAAATATTACTTTGGTGTATCTTGAAGTTTAGTATTCTTTTTTAATTCTATCACTTGTTTTTTTTTTTTTTTTGGCCTAAGAAATATGATTTATAGAAATAAGGGGTATTAAATTCAAAAATGATTACTAGTATTGGACTGTGTTGGAGTCTGTTTTAAATTTTTCTCATCAAAGGTAGCCTAAATCACATTGATTTAGTTTTGAATTCTGGAGATGGCTAACTATGGTAGTGTAATTGCAGAGAAGTCATTTTCTTTTGCTTCTACCATGGATGAACATAATTCTAAAACCTTTATACCTAATCCTTAAAGGAAAAAAACCAAACAGCTAATGGTTCACATGGAACCGAACCGGAACTGAACCGTTTTTACGATTCCGATTCAATTTCATACTATACGGTTTCGGTTCCGCTTCTAGTTCCGTTTTCAAGAAACCGTCATGAACTGTTTCGGTTCTGGTTCCGATCGGAACCATGAGAACCGGAACCGTGTGCACCCCTAACATCAAATCCTAATGATCACTCAGTCTATTATTTTTTTTCTAGAAAAATGTTACTAGTAGTATTCAATTCCTAATGGTCCCTCATTCAATTATTTTTTTAAAACAAAAATTTAATGTTTGTATTCAATTCCACATGTTCTAAATAATGCGCAAACTGGAGCTGCCAACGACTTTGTTTGGGACCCAACTTTTGCATAATTAGATCTTAAATCAGCAGCCTCCAAGTTAGACAGCCAGATACCCCCTCCAATCATCTCCTTCTATGCCCATCACATAAAAAAAAATGTACAGTGTTTTATAAAGTAGACATATTATTAAGTTTAAATATCTCTTTTAGGTTGCACTCTTAGGAACAATCAGGATCCCAATTATTGGCAAACATTACATAAAAATATCCCTAATAATTAAATGACTCTGTTATTACACAAGTTTCACTAAGCATATCTACGTCACCATGTAACTCTATGTTGTCTTCCAATATTACTTATGATGCTATTATATATATAGAACATCTTTATATCTCTAGTTATTGAGTTCAAAATCTCAAGAGAGACAAAATGGAAGGTGAAATCAACAATTTCATAATGGTATGGATCACAGCCTTGGCTTCTATTTGCTATTGTCATGCCGTAGGTAAGTTTTCAGAGTTTGTAGTATATTTGTTTTCTTTAGTTTACACTTTCTTTTTGTTTTATATTTTATATTTTTTATCTTTAATTTTCTTTTGAACTTCTATTTTATTTTATATTTTTATCTTTACTTGTCCATTGCCAGCATCCTCCAATTGTGTTATTTTCAATCATTTTATAAAATTATTTATTTTTATATATTTTATAAAATGGTTCAGTAAGGGTAATTTAGTCAACTTAAGGTTTAAATTTGTCAGAAGGGCCTATTTGCACCAAATTAAAACTTTAGAGGTATTTTTTGCACGTGAAGAGTGTGATATACACTGTAAATATACATTAGCAGTGTTTTATATACTTAACCCATATTTTGATATATCAATTTTAGCTTATAATGAAGGGCCTATATTTGTTTTGTTTTTGACCCTACTAATAAATTGAATTGTGGGAACTAAGTCACACAATCCTTCTTAACGGGTGACATTCTCACGCTCTGCATGCGCTCCACCTCCAATTTTTATTGTTTTTGACTAATTCCTTCTTCTTTTTTGTTAGAGCATCTCCAGCGGTATGTTAAAATATCCTTTTGTGTAAAATATACATTGCCACCTATTATGTGTAAAATTTTTCCATTTCCAGCCGTCTGTTACCTACATTGCCAGATCACCAATGTGTAAAAGGGTTGTGTAAAATGTAAAAGGTTTTTACACGGCCAAATTAACATATTTCCTTTTTCATCCTTCTTTCTCATTCCATTAAAGAATCAACCATATATTAAATAAGTCTGTAAAAATTATGTAGGTCCTGACATGATACATGGTTGATTATTATTGAGAAACATATTTTTACACAAAATGTATAAAATAACCGTTGGAGATAAAATTAAATAATTCAAAATTTTCGTATAAATCCATCATGACAAATCAAATTTACACAAAATAATATACACAACGGTTAGAGATGTTCTTATGTAATTATAAAATTTTAAAACTACCTGAAATTACAAAAATACTTCACTATTGTACTCGCAATATTTTATATCTTATTAGTTAGTTCCGTCACATAATTTTCTAGGTCGGTTTGTCATTTACAAACGAAATGAGTGGGAAGTAGTCCACTCAATATATATAGTGACTGGCTTATGTGACCTACCTATGCTAAATGCAGTTTTGGCTAAAGCCCATTTCACTGTAATTATATTTGGACTCAATATTTTATATTCTATTCTTGAACTGTGCTTTGTTTATATCGGAGGTCTAATTCAGTGCCTTCTAATTTCATACGAGTTAAAATACAATATTATATTCACACAAGCTTTTTAACTGGTCTTATCTTCACTAATAATACGAATAACTCGTGAAATGAATGGTATGGCACAATTATTGGTCAAGTATCCAATATGCCCAATCAAGACATTCAGCACATACGATAACAGGTCTATCAAATTAATGGGCTTGTCGAGGTGCATCATTTATCTCCAGCAAGATTTGATTAGTTGACCATACTCTATTAATTTATTAATTTATTATTGAAAGATATATGGTTAGATAATTATACGGAAGATGAAATAAAATCTTTTGTCAAATTGAAGGTATGATAAATGCATTCGAAAATATGAACAGGAATAAAGGTTGCATAATAGTTTGTAAATACGTTAATGCGTTATGAGCAGTTTGATTAAAATAATTTGATATTACCTTGCTTAAAAATGATAAAAGGTTAACACTCAATCACTCTCTCATTCGGATCTGATGTACGACAAGTTCTCCCTTGTTACATTCTCCCCACCCAAACCCGCAAATCCCTTGTTGCGGCTCGGACCACCCTGCCTATCCGTGTTGCAGACCCGGATGCCCTCCGGACTGGACGCTTGGCGTAACACCCAGCCCATATATACCTAATCACTCTCCCATCCAGATTCAATGTGAGACAAATTCTCCACTAGTACATTTTCCCCCACTCAAACTCGCAATGCCCTCGTTAAGGCTCGAGCCACTTTGTCTATCCCGGGCTGTAGACCCAGACTCCCTCTGAGTTGAGGGCTTGGCATGACACCGGATCAAGAATTTGGTCTAACTTTAATACCAATTATAACGAGTAGGTGTTTCGCGATCCGACCCAAAAGCTAAGCGATTAGGTGAGACTAACACCCAATCCATATGTAGCCAATCACTCTCCTATACGGATCCAATGTGGGACAAGTTATCTCTGTTATACAAGTCTGGTCATATTAAAATATAAGAAAATTCTAAAATTGAATGAATAAGAGTTGTTTAATTAACCATTTTATTCTAATTCTAAATCACAATTGTATTTCACAACAATCATTTTTTTGTTATATGAGATAGTTGTTTCTTCTTTTTTTTTTTTTTTTTTTCGACAAAGAGAGTTGTTCCTTTTGTTGGTAGGTAAGTTACTCACACATAGGGGTGGCAAAATGGGTCATGTCCCACCAATCGACTCATATCTGCCCTCTTTAAAATGAATATAGGTGAACCATTCTAAAATATGGGTCAAAATGGATAACTTATATTTAATTCATTTTTATAGAGGGTTAAATGGGTTGAATATGAGTCACCCATTTTGACTCATATTTTACTTATTATATAAGAGATCCAGTTTTGCAACCTCTATTTGACTCAAATTCACCTCTTCCTTTCTAAAATTCTCCTACTATCTCTCTCTAAAAGTCTCTCTGCATCATGGATTCCTCACGTATGTAATACTACATTTTGAAAGAAACCTATGTTTAGATCTGTATTTCAAAGTAAGACGACCTAATTTATTCATTTAATTATTTACACCATTCTTACCGTTGATGTGGATCAATAATAAATGCACACATTCTATTTTAATTACCAAATCATAGATAGTAATCAAATCACGATCTCTGATTTGGTAGGTGGTATTTACCTACTATATTTGATTTGATAATTAAAGATCACATATTAATTTATTATTAGTCCATATCAAGTGAGTATGGTGTAGATGACATAAGTATTGTTCTTTCATATATATATATCTTACCTTCATGCATGTCTAGTCACAAAATAAAATAATATAAATTTAAAGAATTTCCAAAATAACTTAAAGGATTTACAATTATCCATACATATTTTTATGAGCTTTTATCCATTTAAAATAAAAAACTATAATAATTATTATATTTATATATATATGGTGTGGGGTCCATTATTTATGAAAATTTGGAAAAAAATGGAATTAGTAGCATGGCCCACTATTGAGAGAGTTTGGTACGCTGGTTAGAATTATGTGTATAGGTTTATTGTATATATAATGTTGTAGTTGTGAACACATTAAATATATATAAGCAAGTTGTTTCCTTAACTTGCTTTGTAAGCTTAGCTTATGGCTATACATATATATATATGGGTATTGGTGTGTATCCGAGATGTATAGAAAAAGTAAAAAGAAATAAAGAAAACTTTCTCTCTTTACATTCTGTCCTCTCTCTCAAAGTTCTTTGTTTTGATATTTTTGTTTATATTAATTAATATTTATATAACAACAATGAGATTATCCAAAATAATAACTTTTTTTTTCTTCCTAAAACGGGATAACGGGTTGACCCAGCCCATTTTACCCAAACCCATATTTAACCTATTACAAGCGGTTTGAATATGTATCACAACCCATATTCGATTTATCTATTTATTATGAGTATTTTAATTAAAGAAAATCTAATTAGACAAGAATTATTAATATAAAAAATATTTATTAATTGATATAAAAAATAAAATAATTTTTTTAAAACTCTACCACAAATTACCTTTTATTATGAGTTTTTTAATAAAAGAAAATGTAATTAGACAAGGATATATATATTTAAAGAAAATAAATAATTTCTATAAAATTATAACACAAATTAGTTATTTTATTTTTGATAAAACTCTATCACATTAGATAAGGATATATTATAAGAGTTTCTATAAAACACTAACACAAATTACCGAAACTCTATCACAAATTAACTATTTTATTTTATTTAAAACTCTATCACATATAATCTGTATTTATCTATTTATTATGAATTTTTTAATAAAAAGAAATCAAATTAGACAAGGATATATTTAAAAAAAATAAAATAATTTCTATAAAACTCCACCACAAATTACCTATTTTACAAATTATTCTATAAAACTCTATCACAAATTACCTATTTTATTTTCTTTAAAACTCTATCACAAATTACCTATTTTATTTTCTTTAAAACTCTATCACATTAGATAAGGATATATTTAAAGAAAATATATAATAATACATATAAATAAAATATTAAAGTGTAAAGAGTTTTAGTTTTAGTATTTATTTTTTAATATAAAAAAATATTTATTAGTTAATATAAAAAGAGAATTCTATCAGATATAACCTCTGTATTATCTATTAATTATGAGTGTTTTAATAAAAGAAATATATATGAAAAGAAAATTTCTATAAGTTACAAAACATTCATCACGCGCCTTTTCCTAGTATATATATATATATATATATATATATAGGTATTGGTCTGTATCCGAGATGTATAGAAAAAATAAAAAGAAATAAAGAAAACTTTCTCTCTTTACATTCTGTCCTCTCTCTCAAAGTTCTTTGTTTTGATATTTCTGTTTATATTAATTAATATTTATATAACTATAATGAGATTATTCAAAATAATAACTTTTTTTTTCTTCTTAAAACGGGATGAAGGGTTGATTCGGTCCATTTTCACCAAATCCTTATTTAACCTGTTACAGAATATGTATCACAACCCATATTCGACCTGACCGATATAACATTGCTCAAACCCGACCCGACTCGACTGTTTACCACCCCTACACACATCCACAATTTGCCTCAACCTTTAGTTAGAAAGAAGGAAAAGAACCTACTTGTTCTAGTCTTCTAGATGCGTCAAAGTAATTTTATAAGACTTTTATAGATTATGAAATAAATCTCATATATTTATTCATTTATTTTTCAAAATACGAAAGGGATGTACTACACTTGGCATTGGGAGGAAAAAGTCTAATCTATTGAATGGTGTTTTGACTTAGAATTCTTAAAGTGAAAATATTTGGGAGGAAAGGAGAGTACATCCAGTTGGGAGAGAGGAAAACAAAGGAAAGTCTAACCTTTTAAAACAAAGAAAGGGAAAACAAAGTCAAGTCCTCCCTCTTGACTATATGCATTCCATAATTGTTGGGGGTGGAACATCTTTCTTCAATATGGGCTCACTAGCAGACCCATAACTCTCCTTGGGTCAATTTTGTGGCACATTCTTGTCCGTCGATCATCACAACCTCCCCCAAAAGTGGCTTTGAATCTATTCCTTCTAGTCTTGTTAGTTCAATTATCGCAAATATTTACATCCAAAAAGGTAGTTAGGTTTCAATATTTTTTTTTATTTTTTTTTTTTTACTTTTATTTTTTGGTAAAAATGGATGTAGAATATTCAAAGGTTTCTAGATGTCACGTCAATGGCGGACCCAAATTTCTTACCCGCCTCAAAATCAAAATCCTAATGCTCCCTCTCACTATTTTTCTAAATAATTCCCCAATTGAGCTACGGACCGCCAACCACTTTTTATTGGGAGATAGCACCAGTCTCCAAGTTAGCTATAGCTAGGTACCCCTTCCATTCATCTCCTTATCTGCTGCACATTGCATGAAACAATGTAAACTGCTTTCTAAAGTAGTAACCTTTCTAAAGTAGTAACCCACTTTTGGACAAGTATTATTAATTCGCATACCACATCTTTATATATATCTCTAGTTCTTCAGTGTTGTGCAATCTCAAGAGAGGCAGAATGGAAGGTGAAATCAACAATTTCATAGTGGTATGGATCAGTGTCTTGGCATCTATTTGCTACTGTCATGGCGTAGGTAAGTTTATCCCCAAAGGTCCTCCTAGACTTCTTGTCATCCTCCCGGTTGTATGTCTCTTTCTCTATCTTCCACTCAATCTCCATTCAATCCATTTTGGAAGCACCACCTCTTTCTTCATTTCATGGCTCGCCAACTTCAAGCTCCTCCTCTTTGCCTTTGGCAAGGGTCCTTTGTCCTCTAACCCACCAATACCTTTGTCACGTTTCATCACCATAGCTTGTCTACCCATCAAGATTCAAAACCATACTGAAACCAAACCATACCCGTCTCACCAAACCACCCAAAAAGGCCACAAATCACCTCTAAATTATGCCATAAAGGTTATGCTCTTGTCTGCGCTTGTGCGTGTTTATAGCTATAGACAATATCTACATCCCAAATTTATAATGTTGCTATATTGCTTTCACATTTACTTATGTCTCGAGCTGCTGTTAGCCATGTTTGGTGCCCTGGTTCGAGCCCTAGGCCGGTTAGAGCTCGAGCCACAATTTGATGAGCCTTACCTATCTAGCTCGTTGCAGGACTTCTGGGGCAAGAGGTGGAACCTCATGGTTAATGGTATCCTACGCCCTACCGTATACGATCCCGTCCGATCTACTTCTACCCGTCTGATGGGGAGGCAGCTGGGGCCACTTCCGGCAATATTCGCGACATTTTTTGTGTCTGCCATGATGCATGAACTGATTTTCTATAACGTTGCAAGAGTGAAGCCCACAGGGGAGGTCACGTGCTTCTTTCTCATTCATGGGGTGTGTTTGATCTTGGAAATTGTGATGAAGAAGGCGGTTAATGGCAAATTTCGATTGCCGCCGACCGTGTCAGGGCCGCTGGTGCTTGTGTTCGTATTGGTTACTGGCATCTGGTTGTTCATTCCACCAATTCTGCGATGTGACGCCGACACAAGAGCACGGAGAGAGACGGTTGCTTTTGTAGGGTTTGTGAAGAATGTTGCCAAATCTGTCAATTTTACATCATTTAATGCTGTAAGCAGATAGATAGGTGTGTATCTTTGATATATCAATTTTAGATTATAATGACGGCACATATTTATTTTGTTTTTCATCCCCACTAAATAAGTGTCAATTTGGACATGTATAATAACTTGATGTCGGGAGCAATACAAAATCATTTGGATATTCTATCCAATGAATACAATGTTAATTACTTCCCCCAAAAATAAATAAAAATATTGAATAGAATGTAGACATAAGAAAAGCAAGTCAAGTAAGCTAAGATCTTCTATGGTCTGATGTCATTTTTTATTTTTATTTTTTCCCGATAAACATGGTCTGATGTCATTTGTTAACAAAATGAATGGAAATTGGTCATATTTAGTGAAGGTCTTATGTGGCTTACTTTTTTAAATGCAGCTTTCACTAATTATATTTTAATTTTACAATTCTTTTAAACGGGTGTTATTCCATTCCTTCTCTCTGGATCACATTTTTGGTACAAGGCATTCGATCCCAAGCCATGAAAAGCATGAAAAAAAAAAAAAAAAAAAAAAAAAAAAAAAAAAAAGAAAGAAAGAGGGAGTAAGCTCCCAGTGACTTTGATTATATTTGCACTCGATATTTTGAAATTATGTATCCTTGAAGGGTTAAGTGCAAAAAACCCCCTTGATATATAGACTTTGTGCAGAATAAGTCCCTACTTTTTGAAAAAGTGCATACAAGTCCTCAAAATTCAAAAAAGGTGCATAACCGGTCCCTCTGACAACTTTTTACAAAAAGTAAAACTTAAAACCCCATTTTACCCTTTTGTTTCCCATTTTACCCCTCACCATTTGTGCATAAAAGTCCCTCAGCGTTATGCATAAAAGGCCCCCCATACTGTGTTCAGCAGCCAATATTTTGATATAGATATAGAAAAAATATTAACAAAAAAAAAAAAAAGAACATTAACAAAAATAAATAAATTAAATTTCACGTTATCATCACTAGTAAAATATACCCTTTTCTTGTTTTTTTTTTTTTCCCCTTTTTTTCATTAATAAGCAACTTTTATCTATTAATGAAAAAAAGGGAAAAAAAAAAAAAAAAAGAAGAAAAGAAAAAAGACAGTGGGTACGTTTGGTTATAGAATTAAATTACAATTCTAGTTCAATTTATTATTTTTTAATTATATTAGAATTCTAATTCTATTTGATTCACCTTTAGAATTTGTATGGATGTATGGAGTAATATTTATTTATTTTTTAACAAAAATATAATATTTATATTATACTTATTAAATTATTATATATTATAGCAAAACAATATTAGCACCAATTTTGATTAAAAATGGCAAACATGCAAATATAGAATATATATATATATATATATACAAACCCAAAGAACCCAACAACTAGAGAGATGTAATATTTATTTATTTTGTAACAGAAATATAATATTTATCTTATATGTATTTATTAAATTATTATATAAGCAAAACAATATTAGCACCAATTTTGATTAAAAAGGCAAACGTGTGTATACAGAATGTACATACACGCATATATACATACAACCCTAAAGAACCACCCAACAACTAGAGAGAGAAACAGCGCCCTCCACCAAACTGCCTCCGCCGCACCAAACTGACACGTCGCCTTCAGCCTCTTTTGCCTCACCTCACGCATATAAGCGGCAAGGATCCGAGTCAAATAGCAACACCCGTGGATCTTTACTATGGAGTCTCTGTTGTGCAGTCGTCTAGAGAGAGAAAGTGAGAGAGAAGAAGAGGTCAGTTATGGATCCAAAAACAATTATCTCTCTACTCATCTATGCCTAACCGTGACACCACCCATCTGCCTTTTTTTTCTTTTTTGGTTGAATCCCATCTATCTCTTTCTCATATGATATATGATGATTATATGTTAATATTCCAACCCATCCCCAAGTTACAATGGCCATTAATCATTGATTTAGACAAAAAAAAAAAAAAAAAAAAAAAAAAAAAAAAACAACGGCGAATCCGAACTGGAACAACGGCTGAAGCTTGCGACGGCGAACCCGAACTGGAACAGCGGGCAATGGGTTTTGATTTTTTCAACAATCTGAAATGATATGCCGATATGGGTTTTGAACTTTTGATTCTTGCAGCAGATAGATAAACTAAAATATATGGGTTTTGAACTTCTGATTCTGCAGAGAGAGAGAGACGCCCGGGGGGGGGGGGGGGGGGGGGGGGGGGGGGGGGGGGGCGTGCAAGTTCAGAGTTGAGAACGAGAATAGCCATGGAGGCGGAGGCTGAAATGATTTGCCCTAATGATATATGGTGTGTGCACGTTTATTTAAATTTTAAAATATGAAAGGGCATGTCTGGTTTTAAATTTAATTATATTTAGGTTTAGGTTATTCCAATTTTATACAATTTGAGGTTTATATTATCCTTCTTCTAAACAAATCTCATTTTATACAAATTTGGACAAAAGGGTCATTTTACATGCTTGTATTTATAATCATTAATTTATTCAACTAAAGTGAGGGTATTATCGTCATTTTACACCACCAGGGACCCAATCGCACCAAATTGATAGTATAAGGGGATTTTTTACCACAGGGATTGATATGCACTATTTCGATAGTAGAGGGGGGTTTTTTGCACTTAACCCATCCTTGAATCGTGCTCGGATTTAGGTCCAATTGCTTGGGTCCAAGTTTGGGTTTGGTCTACAATAGCCTTCAAATTTCAGAAGAGTTAAAAACTTAATTCACACAAGTTTTTTACTGGTCTGGTCTTCTGTAATACTAATAAGAACAACTTGTGAAATGAACTGGTATGGCCCAATGGTTGGTCAAGTGTCCAATAAGCCCAATTAAGAGATTTAGCGTATAAGATAAAAGATCAATTAATGGGCTTGTCGAGGTGCATAGTTTACCATGCTTTATTAGTTTATTACTCAATCTGGAATTAGAGACTATTGAGTCTATTTCTTGCAAAAATTATTGAAAGATATATGGTTAAATAATTATATGAAAAATGAAATAAAATCTTTTGAGTGTAAAAATGAACATAGCGAAAATGTAGAGAAAAAAACGTCAAATAGAAGGTATGATAAATGTTATCGAAAATATGAAAAGAAATAAAGGTTGTATAATAATAGCTTGCAAGTAAATTAATGCGTTATAGCAGTTTTAGTTTGCCCGTTATATAAAATTCATTAATTTATTTTTCAAAATTAAAAAAATAAAAAAAAATACTATCCTTGGCATACTTTTTTATTATCTTATTATCATACTCAATTTTCTAACAAACATTGAATTGTACAAATCAATTTTTTAGGAAGGAGTCTTTAGGAAGGATTGCAAAACCATTATTCAAAGTTAAGCTATCCCTCCCTTCTAATCCTTCCGAATCATTTCATTTCCCTCTTTATTTTTAAAACAATCACAAAATAAGCTATCCTTCATTTTTTTTTTTTTTTTCCTTCTTCTCTTCTCTTCTCCTCTTCTCCAATTTCCTTATAATCAAAACGAGGCTTAGAGCATCTCTAGCACTGTTTTAAAAGATTATTTTGTGTAAATATACACAATGTGTAATTTTTTTTACTTTTTTATTTTTTATTTTTTATCTCCAGCAGTATGTTAAGATACATTGTTACATCACCGATGTGTAAAATTGTTGTGTATTTTGCACAACCCTTTTACACGACAACATCATCATATTTTCTCTCTCATTCATCTTTCTTATTCCATTAACGAATCAACCATATGTTAAATATTTTGGATCATGCATAGGTGCCATACACGTTATCAAGTTCGAATTTTAGAAAAAGTCATTTTGAAAAATACTTTTACGCTAGCCATTTTACGAGTTGATATTAGTTGAGTCAGACATATCATGTCACTAGTAAAGCCCGCCTAATAAAAATGCAACATTATTGATTCCGCCGACTTATACAAATTACACATAAGAAATTGCCATGACTCCTTTTCATTAGAAGGCTAAAAACTTAATTGGGTAGACGCAGAATTGAAAAAGTAGTGATAGTCACGCCACAGAGTTGCAGTTAATTGCATATTTTTTATTGATTATACAAAATACAAGTAGGTGGAAGGCTCACTTCCTTATTTATAGAATAAATAACTGATTACAAACAATAAATTTAACCATTTAATATAAAAATCATTTTCCGAAACGAAAAGATAAATAATTGAGCGGCCCAAGACATAGCCAACTACGAAAATGAAGCATGCATTAAAGCACAGTAAATGAAGCATTTATATGCTGATGAAATCATGAACCCTACACGCAACCCAAGTGTGCAGAAGTTCGCACTTCTGTATCTTGACCATCCGATTTTCATCAGATGGTAGTGAGAAGAGATAGCACAAATGCATCTATATATATAGAGACACACACACATACTATAAGTCGGCGAGCTAAGAGGCTGAGAGAGCAATACCAGAGCCTCATTTGAAGTGAAGAAATGGATGAGAAAAAGAGAGTGTCAACCGTAGCTGCTGCTTATGTGCTGCTGCTGATGTGGGTTATGACCACACCGGTTTTCGGCTGCCCATCGGACGGCAGCCAATGTAGGAACTGCGTTCTTGATAAGTTCAAGAACAGTTGCCCTCCATGCGCACCGATACTGCGCTGCATGGCACGGTGCTTGTGGGGAGGCAAATCTAGGTCCAAGTGCATCAAGAAGTGTGACTGCAATGGTGGATACCCAACGCTCTCTGATTGCAGGAAATGTATGGCAAAGTGCAAGTGCAGCTGTTCTGGATAAATGACTGCTCATTTGGTACTATTGTTTAACTAATATGTGGCTTTATGTATAAACTCTAAACTTCTATTTTGTGTGCATGTGTGAGAGGGGGGATCTTTTGTATGTCCAATACCATATGTATTGCAACATGGTTATAAAAGTTTGTACTACCTGGTTTGCAAGTGCCAAATTATGGTTTTATTTCGTTCACTATTCTAAAAACAGTTCATTATATATATATATATATCGTGCTCTCTGCTACAAATGTCATCCCTCACATAGGTTTAGAATGATTCAGTGCTATTAACATGTCATTATTGATAGAAATAAGTACTTAAACTGGAGCAATTGTGATTTACATAGCACAAGGACATATCAACTTGTAGTAACAAATTCTGGGAAGGAAAAAAAAAACCTTTTAAGTCCTTAGTTGCTACCTACTTGGATGGGCTAAACTTAGGAAGGAATACGAGACTGCTAGACCGTCTTCCGGGATATGCATTAAGGAACATTCAGGTCACCATATGCAGTAGCTGATCAAAGTGGTGCCGGAAGAATCTTCCCAGAACACGTTCCAAATCCAACATTGTAACCATTCCCCTGCAAATGAGTCCAAATGTGAACTAATCAGTCTATGCATGTTCAAAATCAGATGATCGTGACTATTTTTCACTAGGGAGATATGAAGACTGGGCACAAAGAACCAATTACTTTAAACCAGAAGAAAATCAAAATTTAAAAAAAATAAAAATAATACGGCGAATGGGATGTTGACATCTCTAAAACAAGAAGCAAAACTGGTTATACCGTTTCAATATAGGATATAGTTCGATTTGATTATAAAAATAGTCACACCATTTATTAAGAACCAATTTGTTTTGTCTCAAAGACGGTAAGACCTCAATCTTCCCAACCTCAAATATTCAAGGAAGGCCCTTCAATATACTAGTCGCATCATCACAGTCTGAAAGTTTTATACAGCATCGTCCAGAATACTTTATTTTCGTTTCATTTTATTTATTTACCATTACTCTTATCATTTGGTAGATTTTTGGGGTGAGGTATCCTCCTAAATCTCTAATGCTTTTAATAGAAAACACAATCATCATTAGACTGATATTTCAATTGGGTAGTCGATTTTCAAGATGATAAAAACTACTACATTAAAATGAAACCAATGTATGAAAAAGAAACATGATAGAAACCAAAGGATATTATAAAGCAGCATGTGTCTTTGTGAATAGGAGAAGCCAAACTAATTCTGAAATTTGAGATCAACTAAAGATTTATAAATAATTGTCTAACTCATAACTAGAACTAGGACATAAGACGTATTCAAGTAGGACCAATATGCAACCCAAACTTTAAAGAAAACTGTCTAGGTTACTTTCACCATCAACCAAAGATCTCAAAAGAGAGCAGTAAAATTATGTTGGTCACTCAAACTTATTAGGTTCCTTTTTAAGTCTTGAATTATGAATCTTGTATGCATAAGATCTTTTGTAAATGTACATGAAAACCTAACCATAACATGTTGGATAGAATAAAGAACCGAAAGTTCTATGACAACAGACCTTGCAACAACCGGTAAAAGTGACTTCATCTCCATCTTCTAGAAAATGACGATCTGTTCCACCCAAAGATAGTGGTTTCTGTCCATTCCATGTTAACTCTAGTAAGCATCCATAAGATTCTGGATCCTGTAGAAAATTCAGGCGGCCATTGAACTTTAGTAGCACGATATTATAAATATTTGCCTATAATTTGAGTGATTAAAATGAAAAGCAGAACTGTAACATCAAAGCACTAATGCCATCACAAGTATAGCGAAAGCTTACAGGTCCACTGATTGTCCCAGTCGCAAGGAGATCGCCAGGCCTCAAGTTGCAACCATTAATAGTATGATGTGCAAGTTGTTGAGTCAATGTCCAGTACCTATACGTAAATTGAATAAATTTTGCATTACTGAACAACAAATTAAATTCTATGAAAAAGTATGAGAATAGAGATTAGCTTTCCTAAACTTCATCAAATTGCTTTGTTCAATAAGTATGTTTGACAATCAGTATACGTGCATGTGTAGATATTGGAAGCTTATTGTCACGAAGTGATTCCTAAGACGCTTGGAGGATGGAAGACACGAATGCTGGTTGGCAAAGAACAGAGTTTGACTGGGAATGGTTCCAGGGAAGGGGCGTGCAAGAGCACAGGATGGTACCTCTTCAGAGTTCAAGCAGGTCGACTCGGTTGAGTGCGAGGAGCTTGTCGCTGGTCGTGGACTTGACTATGAAGAAGGGAGTTGGCCATCCCTGCACAAACTAGTCGGAAGCTGGAGCCGTTTCCCTGATGAGACCAAGGCAGGTCGAAACCAATCAGCATGTATCCTTGGGAGGGCAAGTCGTGGTGGCTGACCAAGGCGCTTGCGCGAGTTGAAGCAACGCCTTGGTGCCGCACGGGAGCAGCTAGAGTGGTGCTGAAACTCTAAACCCGTGACAATTGGTATCAGAGCATATTCGTCAAGGGAGCTTTGTTGGAGTAGACATGGCTAGCGGAGGAGACCACCAAGTCCACGTCTTGGAGCTGAGCTTGGAGGAGAAGCTTGCCACACACTTGGTCTACACGGAGACCAAGTTTAACAGGCTCGAGAGAAAGATGGCGGAGCTCTACGAGCTGATTGATGGCATCGCCAACAAGGCACAAGAGAACGAAAGGGACTTGCATGATCGGGTAGACGACTTGCGCGTGGAGATTGCCGAGTGCAAGGAGTTCTCCCAGGCGCGCGAGGTCGTGGTGAAGCCAAGGAAGAAGAAGGCGCTGGAGCCCAAAGAGTACGATGGGGTAAGGAATGCGCGCCAGATTGACAACTTATTCTGGCACATAGAGCGGTACTTCGAGTGCATGGAGATCGAGGATGATGAGAAGGTGCAGACAGGCACTATGTACCTCACGGACACTGCCACTCTATGGTGGAGGCAGCACTTCACCGATAGAGCCGCAAGAGCGGTTGACACAATGGGAGGAGTTCAAGAGATAGCTCAAGAGGCAGTTTTACCCCGAGTGCGTCGAGGACCTTGCCATGATCAACCTAAGGCGCCTGAAGCAAAAGGGCAGCATAAGGGAGTATGTGAAGGAGTACTCCAACTTGATGCTGGAGATCCCAGAGATACAAGAGCGGCAACGCATGTGCTTGTTCATTGATGGGCCGTAGTTTTGGGTAGCCATAGAGCTGAGAAGGAGGGAGCCTAGAGATTTGGCATCCGCAATGGCTATAGCGGAGAGCCTTGAAGACTTTAGGCGCGATGACAAGAGGGCCACGTCTCCCAAGAGGAACCACGGCAAAGGTGGGGGAGACCAACGCTTCAAGAAAGGGGGCTTGCCTAAGTCCAGTAATGATGAGCACAGCGATGAGGAGACACGCCCACGCCATGATAAGGGCAAGGACCATGGAGAGAGGTCCAAGGCTAGTGGCAAAGGGGAGAGCCGTGACAAGGGCAAGTGAGAGCCACCGAAGTGCTACTTGTGCGAAGAGCCGCACCTATTGCGACACTGCCCCAACAAGAAGACCATGAGTGCCCTTGTGAAGGATAAGGGCAAGTGTAAGATGGACGATGCAGACAGCGATGAAGAAAGGTGCATGCGGACTATGCAGATGCTGAGTAGCATGGCGCATGACACCAAGAAGAAGGGCAAGACAAAGAAGATAGCTGGGGTGCGCTATGTGGATGCGCAGGTTGGTGGCAAAGTCGTGCAAGCGTTGGTGGACACGAGCGCCACACACAACTTCATTACCCCGGAGGAGGCACAACGCCTTGGCTTGGAGATGCGCAAGACGGAGGGCTGGATCAAGGCCGTCAACTCCGAGGAGGCACGCATGAGTAGAGTGTGCAAGGAGGTGGAGCTATGCATGCAAGAATGGAAGGGCAAGGCCGACTTCCAAGTTGCGGAGATGGACGACCACGACATGGTGCTGGGGTTGGAGTTCATGGACAGGAACAACGCCGCGCCACTACCATACCTTGGTGCGTTGATGATACTTGGAGGCGAGAATGGCAAGGCCGCATGCATGGTGCCGCTCGTGGGCAGGAAGGAGAGTCCAGAGGTGGCAGTCAACACGATGGAGCTCGTGAGAACCTCACATCTCCCGAAGGGCGCTCGTACGTTTGGGCCAAGGACATATGCGCAAGTGCTGATGACCTGCGAGAGGCTGGGTCAGCTAAAGAAACCGTGACGAGGGCATCACGGAAATGGGTGGGGGAGAATGTCATGCCCCGCCTATGGAGGTCGTGCCACGCAGGCGACACGCAGACGCTGAGGAGGACGCTGCATGGCAACTGCATGGCGAGTGGAGTTTATAGAGTCTTCCGGAGTTGTCTCAAGTTGTGTGGAAGATTCTAGATATGTGTGGTATATTCTAGAGTTCTCTAGAATTGTGTGGAGTAGTATGAAGAGTTTTAGAATGTTGTAGATACTAGTAGATAAGTATGGAAGTGTGAAGAAGGTGGGAGAAGATTCTAGAGAATCAATCTCCACCATTGGTTAGAATGCATCCTAGCCATCCATTAGGGATGGGGATGCCTATAAATAGGAGTAGGACTTCATTTTGTAGCTAACAAGTCTTAGAATGAGTCTTGAGAGCCTTGTAGAGAGTTTGAGTGCTAGCCTTGTATAAAGCATTCTTTGAAGTAATAGAAGTATTCTTTCCTTGCCAACTTAAGTGTCTTAGTATGTGTGAGTGTGCAAGCCAAGTGAGGAGAGGGCGAGAGCCACTACAACACTAGTAAGCGCACGAGGGGAGTGTGTTGGCTAAGGTGTGCACGGGAGTTAGGCTGACCAAGTAGTTGCGCGAGCTGAAGCAATGCCTTGGTGCCGCACGGGCCGTGCCGCTGCGCCAAATCTCTAGGCCCGTGACAAATGGTATCAGAGCAGGACTTGGGGTAAAGCATGGTTGGGTGCCCACTTGTCGATCTGGGAGGGGTCTGAGAATGAAGACGGTGCACTGAAGCTGCGTCGATAAGGAGGAATCAATGCAGTTGGAGGGAAAGCCTCCATCTCCCCAAGAAGACGCGTCCGTTGAAGTTGCGCATTGGAGGGCCAGAGAGCCGCGTACACCAAAATTCGTGCTTAGTCCTTGGGTGATGCAAACCCTGGTGAAGGGCGAGCATCAAGTCGGCAGGAGGCCCTTGCTTACTCGGGATGTCGCAGAAGCGGCATGACGGAGAAGAGTCACGTCCTTGAGGAGTGGACGTCCCCTTGGTCCGAGGCCTATCATTGGGCGAGTGCAGTGCAGAGAGCTGCACAAGGAAGCGATGGTGGGAAGGTGAGCATACCGCATGGAGGCAGGATTTGGAAGGGAGTGGACGCAGTAGTGAAGCGCCGCACTACGACGAGGGCGTCGCAGGATTTGGGTGGGGGAGAGTATCACAAAGTGATTCCTAAGACGCTTGGAGGATGGAAGACACGCATGCTGGTTGGCAAAGAGCAGAGTTTGACTGGGAATGGTTCCAGGGAAGGGGCGTGCAGGAGCATAGGATGGTACCTCTTCAGAGTTCAGACAGGTCGACTCGGTTGAGTGCGAGGAGCTTGTCGTTGGTCGTGGACTTGACTATAAAGAAGGGAGTTGGCCATCCCTGCACAAACTGGTCGGGAACTGGAGCCGTTCTCCTGATGAGACCAAGACAGGTCGAAACCAGTCAGCATATATCCTTGGGAGGGCAGATCGTGGTGGTTGACCAAGGCGCTTGCGCGAGCTGAAGCAACGCCTTAGTGCCGCACGGGCCGTGCCACTGCGCCAAATCTCTAGGCCCGTGACATTATGCTTAGTTAAAAGTTTTTTTGCTGTAATATGCAAGTGATATAAATTATATACATCACTGATTTGTGATGCTTTAAGGAATATATATTTACAGAGCACCAATAAATCTGTGGCAGTCTTAAAGTAAATCATTAGACAGGTGATCTAGACCATTCCAGGCAATGCTAGTTTGATCTAATTATCAGCCTATATGTGTGACTTTTGGACAGAAGTGACCTGAAAAAGGAGTCAGTAATCTAAGGCCTTGTAGCCTGATGATACTTCCTCACTTTCCAAAGTAGAAGGTTGAGGAGTCCCCATAGGGGCAAAAAGTGGGTGTGTTAGTGTAATTCTTGCTAATGAAAAAAAAAAATGAAAAAAAAAAAAAAGGGGGGGGGGGGGGGGGGGGGTTCGGTAATAAAACAAATTGTCATTAATTGAAAGAAATCAATCTATTTTGCAGGTAAATAAGAATTAAATTTACTAAAAGCAATACTCCTTACAAGTGGTTGAAGTTGCTCCTTGTAACAATGGATGAATGCTTTTGTCCAGCAGGTTTAATTAGAACCTTGAAACAAGGAGGAAGTTCCATCATTATATATAGAAAAATAAAATAAAAAGTAGACAGCATTTCTTTAAGAATGTGTTTACATTTGACTATTTTACAATCTACAAGGCAAATATTTTGTAAGATTATCAAAAGGGAAAATTTTCAAGAAATAAGATGGCCACTATGATATTATGTTAACCAGTATAGATGTATATAGAGCAGTGAGATGTACCTCCAAGGAAATGTCAAAATTTTTGGATATCTTTTCGGCAAGATATGGCAATGGATAAGGGCTCTGCAATTTACAGCACACAGGATTTAGCATGCTAGTGCAAATTTTGAATAATAGTTTTATGCGCTGAAACATTTTGAAGAAAGTTACCTGTTTGGGAGCATCACAAGCAAAGGGTTCTAGAGCATCTAAGGTCACAATCCATGGGGATATCGTCGTACCTGTATGAATTTAAGATAAAAAATAAGGTCCAGCTGAAATAACCTGGATGTTATAAATCACATAAAAATAAGATTACACATGCGATCATGAGAACAGGACAATGTGCAGTTGACATATCTGTAGCTTCATGAATATAATTCAAATGATGGAGCAATACCGCTCGCATTCCTTACCAAAACTCTTCCCAAGAAAAGGACCAAGAGGCACATATTCCCACGCTTGAATATCTCTAGCTGTCCAAACCAACTTCTAATCAATATAGCATCCACAATTAAGCCAGATGCTAGGAAATAAAGCAAAGAATATCATACATACCACTCCAGTCATTCAACAAGACAAGTCCGAAGATATGATCAGAAGCCTCATTGACATTGATAGGCTTTCCTAATTCATTTCCTGGACCAACTACAGCAGCCTAGGAACATAGTAGAAACATGGGGTGAAAATTGGAAACAGTTCTAAAGCTAAGGTACAACAAAAAGGTAATAACAATATGATAATAAATTGACATATTAAACAGAAACAGATGCTAAAATCAGTCATCCACTTTAGATTAATCTATGGTAATTATATAAAATGATTAATTTTCTACTGAGGCACATCACAAAAGCTTACCATTTCTAGCTCAAAGTCTAGCTTTCGCGAAGGTCCAAAATATGGTGGCGAATTGGCAGATGGATGACCTTGACCTCTGTTGAAGAAGCAATATGGTAAAAAACATCAGATGAGACCCAGGCAAGTATGATAAGTGAGGACGAACATCCAAACAAATCCAGAACACAAAGGACACTGAATCACCATGTAAACAAGAAAAATTTGTGATCGCCTTGCAACACAAGTGCCTTTCATATACATTTGCATATGCATACAAACAGATTACAAATACAACTTGATAGAAACATATACACAGTTAATATTTGATTGTTTTTCAACGCATTTCCCAGAGTTGATATACAATATATAAATATTGTGAAAACTGATTGATGCACTGCAGACATTAACTGGCTGATTCATTATGAATCCAATATACTCTGACTATAAAAACTAAAGTTGTTTGGATGGGATTGCCCCTCTTTGAATTAAAGAAAGCGTCAAAGTTCACTCTATGGATGCAACATCATGTCGCTTTTTGTTCCCTTTACATCCAATATGCCTACATGTATATATGTATATGTATGTTATAGAGTCAATCTATAACTAGCGAAGCATTCTTCACCTCAAAAAAGTTTTATGTAAAATTGGTCCTTATTCAAACAAACCATTGGATTATATACCTTAATTGTTATCTTTCTTTTATTCTTTTCTTTTTTCATGAATGCCAAATAAAATGTCAATGATATAATAACTATTCTCCCAATACATGAATTCATATTCTCTTAATAAAATATAATAAGTAAATCTCTACTCAAGCACAATGTTGATTTGATTTTTCGCATGCATGATAAACATGAAAAATGCATCTATGTTGTCAAAAGATAAATCCAACAAAAAGATTATTGATGGGTGTAAGATTTACTTATTTTTACAATATATATATATATATATATATATATTATATTCAATTCATTACAAAGTCATCTTGTATAATAAATCAAAAGATACATTGGACACATCAACAGCAACAAAAAAAAATTAAAACAAGAAGAGAAACATACACACACACTATAAAGACGTCCTCTAAGAAGAGCTACAGCTGGCAATACAAGCTTCACTCCAGAATATTGGACAAAACACTTAATAGATATCCAATAATACATTATGCATTACTATTCAAATAAGAATAGTCAAAAATCATTCTGCAAGCATGTGGACACGAATGCAGGGTATATTTAAGCTTTAAACAAATTGAACAACTGTTATTTATTCATAAAAATTTAGATCAGAGTGTATGAGGATTTTTTGCAGCATCGTGTTCCATTTTGACACTCTTTATTCATGTACATATTATATGATTAAAAACAAACATCCAAATCAGAATCTTAAAAAGGCAAAAACAATGCAGGGAAGTTAAATTTCCTTACTTTGGTCTGATAATATCAGTGCCGGAAATAACAATAGATGATGCTCGTCCATGATATGCAATAGGAAGGTGGAACCTGAAAAGCCATTGGATTTCACAACTCTAGGCTGAAAAAACTGGGGAACTAACTGTTATTCCCAGTCTGTCAACAGATAAATTTCAAAATAAACCCACCAGTTTGCTGGAATTGGGTTCTCTGGTCCACGAAATATAGTACCGCAATTCTTTGCATGATGCATCGATGAAAAGAAGTCTGTGTAGTCTCCTATTGCAATAGGAAGAAGCATTTGCACCTTGTCCTGGAGCATCAGGCATAGAACTTGCATTGGAATGACAAACATCTTTGGCTAAATTACATATTCAGGACAGGAGTCTTACCATTGGCACAAGTGATTTTTGCCTCAGAATTGCATTGTCGCGCAATGCCGGTTCACTAACTGCATTGGAAAAATAAAATGTTCTGTTATTTTTTCTTAAATTAGATTAAAAATGGAGTTTCCTTCTTTCAGTGACAGGAAATGGTCATTCCCCTATCCCATCAAAGGAGCAGTGTCAAATCTTATATAGAATTTGAGCTGCAGATAACGCTTAGCCTCACAACTTACTTTATTGAGGGAGAAAAATGGAAGGACAAAAAAAAAAAGCACACAATATTAGATAATTACAAAGTTACATTACATGATAACAGCTTTTGAATTGTTGCACGAGCTTCCTTCCATGCTGTCCGTCCCATTCCCAGGAACTTGTTAAGATTAGGCTGGCATCAAAACATACAAAATTAATAAACAATTATATAACTTTTCTAGCCACAATCCAAATTACAGTCTCTATAGAGGGGGAAATTTCACACACATTTTATGTGGTGTATTTAAGTATATATTGGTATTGTCCATCAAACCATGTCAAGGAGTATTATATAGAAATATATACACCCACAAGTCATTATTTCTATTGTTTTTTTGACAATATAAGAAAATGAGAGGCAGAATGAAGACTCTGTTTGGTTTCTTCTTCTTCTTTATTTATTTATATACATATTTTTAAAATAATGCAGTGGTTAAGTGCCTTTGTGGCATCTAAGATAGAATAGTGGATTTAAGGTTCAATTCTAAATTTTATTAATATATAAGAAAAAGAGGATTATAATTCTAAAGTTCAGTTAAGTTTCGAAGAAAACAGAGGCGAATATATCTCAGATATAGAAGTAATTTTAGGTTTTACACTTTCTAATGTTTAGTTTCAAACACATGGTAGCATTTAGAAGTACAGTCCTTGCTTCTCGGCTTAAATTATTGCTCTTGATTTTCCCTTTATGTTGTTTTCCACCAATTTCTTAGCAACCAAACACTGCTGCTTATTCAGATAGTAGCGTTTAAATTGAAAATCCTTCCAACCATATTACAAGTGTTCATATGAATATATATTTATATATACATATTGTTTGAGTTTTCCCTTTGTATTGTTTTTCACCAGTTTCTTAGCAACCAAACACTGCTTCTTATTCAAATATTAACATTAAACATTAAAAATTGAACTTAAAAGCACCCAAAAATGAACTATTAAGATACTCATAACACAATCTAAAATTGACTCCCAGTGTAAGTACTGAGACAGAGAGAGAAGTGAAAATCCAAGTAGTACCTGATTGAAGCAATCGGAGTTCTTGAGAGTCAGCCCGTCGAAAAGACCGGCCGAAGCTATCACCGATAAGTCCAAAACATATTCGCCTATTGCAACGCCCGGCCGAGGCTCTGAACCGGGTTCGGGCTTGAACACGCCGTACGGGAGGTTCTCGATCGGGAAATGAGAGTCCGAGTGGACTTCAATGAAAGACTTGAGACCCATAATCGCCGGCAAATGACGTCACACGACGATGAGGTACAGCGAGGACGAGGACGAGGACGAGGACGAGGACGAAACTGAGACGTGTGAGACAGAGAGAGAGAGAGAGAGAGTGCGTTACGGAATTTGAGAGAAAGATAGGGTATTTATTTCTATTTGCAGAGGGGGGGTCTGTGACTGTGAGTGAGTGACTCGTCAAGATCCAAGAGAGAGTGTACAATACTCATTTTCTTTTTAGTATTTACAGTAAAATTCGAGTAGTATTTTTATAAGTATGGTTTTTTAATATATTCTTGTTATTTAAGTAATTTATTAATAAGATTTGTTGAGTTTTTTAAGTTAAAACTAATTATTAAAGCTGGTAGATGATAAAGATTAGGTGGGGTAGATGATACCAACGGCATGTGATGAGGTAGGTGGGATCAACGGCTGATCCTGAGGTAGATGACCACCCATCTTTCCCAAGAAAGGTCCTCTGTTATTTCGGCGGATCTCTTTCGGTGGTGCAAAATTAGTAGGCTTTTGGGTTTAATCATAAAATTCTTCTACTGTAATTTGAAAGTTATTGGTACAAAATATTAAAAAATAATAATAATTTTTTCTTAATGCAAATTTAACTCTTTCTAGACTTTACAGTGGCGATAATTTCATATATTGAATTTGCCCGGGACTTGCATCAAGCTCAGATTAATAAGTTAATTTGAAATAAGTTAACATTTATTTAGTGAGGGATGTGTGACTTCTGTTACCTTAGAAAAGAAAGTTAAAATTGTTGATCAATTATTTAGTACAAAAATGAACATGTGCTTTTCTTTTCTTTTCTTTTTTTCTTTTTTTTTTTCATTGCCAAACATTATTGTATTACCTCGAATCATTGGTTTCGACTAATCATGCATTGACATATAAACAAAAATGAATTAATATTAATATAAACTTGACACGTTCATGTGTCATCACATAATTGACCTGAAATCGTTTAATAATTTTTTATTTGATTTCACAATCTTTGAAGAGAGAGAAAATAGAGTGAGTGAAGGCATAGATGTGCCGGAATGTCTTTAATATCAAATACACATACACAACAAAAATAATTAAAATCATAAGTTATTTTATTTGATTGAAGTGTTATCAAATGCTAGGTAGTTAGTTATTGCATCATTTCTCTTAAATTTTTTCCCCTTGAATGGGTTTATATGATATAAACGAAAAACTCAAAAGAGATTTCTCTATTTTTCCTATGTTTCATTGTAAACATATGTGCTTAAAATTTATAGTAGCGTATTTGAGTTGATTTTTATGTACTAAATAACATAATTTGAATCACTGCATCATCGAGTAACTCTCCAATTGCAATTAAATACCAAATAATTTGAATTGCATTTTCCTCTACAGATATGCTAAAAGTTAGACAAATTAATGTACCCGAGATGTTTGTTGGGGACCTTTCAAAAAACAAAAAAAAAAAAGATGTTTGTAGGGGACGTGTCCCACGTCAACACATGGCATCACAGGGTGTAGACAAGTACATAGCTTTTTACTCATACCTGGACACTTTGCTTCTGCTCAAGGACAAGGTCGAGCACTTTGCTTCTGCTCAAGGACAAGGTCGAGGAAAAACCTAGTCACCCACGTGTCTCCCTGCAACACTTATAAATCACATTTATTGCTTACCAGTTACCGCTTTTGAAAGGATGTGCATTCAATACGACAGTAACATCTTTTGGACAAGGTCGAGGAAAAACCTAGTCACCCACATGTCTTCCTGCAACATTTATAAATCACATTTATTACTTACCAGCTACCGTCGCTTTTGAAGGGATGTGCATTCAATGCGACAGTAACATCTTTTGGATAAAAAGATCATTATAACCCTATGTAATTTTATAGAGCCATCATCACTATCCTAGACGGATCTAGCATCAAAGCTCTCGAGACCCGTGAAGTGAGAAAGAAAGGAGGCTATTAAAGGAGAGGGTTCACGCCAAGCCAGAGATAGATCATTCATCTTCCATTTTTACTCTGTAATTTGATATCATCCATTTTTCGTATATTTAATCTAAGTATAAAATTCAAAGAACCCTTACAATGTTAAAATATATGGAAAAGATAAAGTGAAATATATTGGAAGAAAAGAAGGACGAGTAAAAAATCTAAGAAAATCAGAAGTGTTTGGTAACATGATACATTCCAAACCATTTTATATTTCTAAGCGCTCGATGGGACATTCGGCAGAATTGAAAAGACTTTGACACAATAAAAATTCTAAAATTGAGTGAGTGGAACTGTGGAGGAGGCCAATCTAGAGGGTGTGAGAAATAAAGGCACAATAATCACAGCAACTAAAGATGATGAGCCCCATATTCACTCGGGTTGGAAGAAAGACTTTCTAAGGTAACAACACGTCACAGTCTCCGAAAGTTGACGAGGCTGAAGGCTTGGGAGAGAGCTTATGTGAGTCTAGGGCATTCTTGGTAAGCAACAAGATGGAGGTGGGAGAGGGTCCATGCAATAAGAAATAGGAGAGAGGTCTGCACAGGGATGACAACTGATCGAGTTTGTGACAGAGGATCCTTCCTCATACTCGTTTTCATTTAATAAAGTAGATCCACTCTTGTCTAAAACCGTCTAATAAAACACCCATGTTATCATGTTTTCGTGTTTAGTTTATGAAATGATATTTTAGCATTTTTAGTATTATATGTAGATATTTACGTAAGCATGCGTTATAAATGAGACAGGCATGACTAGATTAGTATCTATTTATGTTCACGCCGTGTACTTGCGCGTATTTGTCCCAATAGTGCCGGGCAGGATAATTTGCCACCCCTTCGCATATGACAAAACATCAAATAGATCCGCTTCTAACAAATTCATCATTTTTTTTATTCACTCAAATCTTGTCATTACATATTTTACAAGGGTTAGTTGTACATTCCTTTACGGAGGAACATAATTGTTGTGCCAAAGCCCATAATCTTCAAATATCATATATAGAAACAAGCTGCAAAGTACAACTTAAAGCAATTTCTTACTTTTCCTACCAATGGATGGATATTCAACAGATGAATGAGAACAAAAAATATTTCTCATGGAGATAATAGAGTTGCATATAATAATTTCAAATGATACAGAAGAAAGGAAAGCAAAGTATGGTGTCAATGTAATGCCCAATATTACGTAATACTGATGGAAAAATATTGTTATATTACCAGTAGCAAAAAAGTATAAGTAAAAGATTCGAATCCTCTCTTATTACTCGCATGTTATTTGTTCATCTTAACCATTATTAAATAAACAATATAACACATTACATCGCAATGCAATACATTATATGCAACAGTAATATAACACTTACGATATATATTATATTATAATTGTTGCATTGTCAATCTAAAATTATTACATTATCAATTTAAAATTATAATTTAAAATTATTATTGTCATTTTAAAGACACTAGAAGACACATTACTTAAATTTGCCCTCCTAATCCAAAAGTAAGACTATTACTTGGAAAGTGTGGATCAGTTCCTTTCTGGCAAATAAAATTTAAACATCTCAGAGTTGTCTAATGCATATAAAACTTGGACATGAGTCCACTAGATGCACCCAAATCAATAGTTTTGCACTTATAATCATTTAGTTGTTATATATATATATATATTTCATTGTTTGACGTATGTATAGGATTAACATCCATATTGAACATGATATCAAGTATCTTTTAGATGGATCGGATAAAGCAAAAATCTGGATAAATTTTTTTACTTACAATAAAAGCAATTAGTTATTCAACAGTCACTGAGATTCCTTGTATGCAAAACAAATTTTTTTTATTTATGCAAAACTAAAAAGGTCTAGAGACACTGTCCACGAAACATGTGCTCTGTCAAGTAAATAAATCACAAATAACAAACAAAAAGTAGACCCAGGTAAAGCCCATTAACACAAAGACATTGCTAGTCTAAAGATGTCTAGACTATTCATGTCTAGTTAGTTACAAATGCTTGTTACAAAAGTCATACAATAGCACGTGGTGAGGGGATTGGGTGTCACATAATTCACAATAATCATTATTCTCATCAATGCATGTTAAAGGTCACATGTTGGAGTTTTTCCATTACCGGCTCTACAATACCCTTTATACTTTGTTCCACCTCATTTTTTAAATTCTCGCTCTTCTAATTTGCTGTTACAAATGAGATTCTGTCTATAACTCTTCAGTTGTTCCACTCCATTTTTTAAATTCTCACCCTTCTAATTTGTTGTAAGAAATGAGGTTCTGTCTATATGTATAGACATCTAGGCTATTAAGACATATTAGGGATGACAAAATAGGTCAGAAATTATTAACTCGCCCATATGCGTCTTTCTTTTCATGATTATGGGTGAATCATATTTAGTTTGAATGTCAAGATAGGTTGGGTAATTTTTAACCACTTAATTTGAGGGTCGTAATGAGTTAAATATGATTAACCATATTCAACCCATATTTCACCCATCACATAATATATACACAACACACATCTATTCTATATTGCACTCAACTCATTTCTCTCTCTAAAAATCACTCACTCACAATCCTCTCTCTCTATATTTGTCTCTCATGAATCCCTCTCTAAATTTCTCTCTCTAGAAATTTCTTCTAAAAAAAATAAATAATTAATGGGCCGGATCTGGTGTGGATTTGCGGAGGCGGACGAGGCCTGGATCAGGTCTGCGGAGGCCGCTAACGCGGCCTGGATCAGGTCTGCAGAGGCGAAAGTGGCCTGGATCAGGCTGTCGGTGGCAATGGAAGAAGGCTGATTGTATGTTTCCATTCTTACTTTGTGCTTAATGCCTTAATGGAGTGGCTCGGATTGATGAGGATACATGCATGCATATATATATATATATACTATTATTTAATGTGCAAAGTGTTTCAGTATTTCAGTATTTATTTATTAATTGATATAAATTCTATAAAACTCAAAATTACCTAATAAAATTAAAATTAATTAAAATTAACAAAATATAAAAAGAGTTTAATTCAAATTACAAAGTCCCACATTGGTTTTAAGTAAAAAAAATTACATGAAAGCCTCTTATAAAACTATAGAGCTAAATGAATAATAATCATAACTTCTCAGCCTTTTGGCTAAGATCAAGTGTAATGCTAAATTTTTT